TCTAGGTCACGTGGGACGTGTGACAATTATCAGACACGTGCAGCGTGTAACGAATTAATTGGTATTTGAAATGACACGATTGACTCTGACTGCAGTTTAGGAAATCCTAATATGTCCAGTGGCGGTTTGTGGTTCTGGGTTGAAGAGGCTCCAAACACCACGTCTGGTGTTCAAGTCTCACGTGACGCGTGCTGGTGTACTCGTTTATGGATGAAATTCGAAAGTAGCGAGCGATTATGATGATGATTCTAAAGATGACGATGCAAAATGTTAATGCTGCTTCTGCTGATAACAATCATGGGTTTCCACCGACCAGTCCTCCTGGGAAGCTGCCGTAGGCTGCGTGTAGCCATCTGGTGGAGAATGTGCTGATGATGATGAAGCCATTGTCAGCGTGTGTCCAGTGTCTCAATGGGTCTGTATTCGAGTCTTTGGGTCTGTACATAAGTTTAAGAGTAATTATTCGCGTCCATGGTTTTCTACGTGAGAAGCCACATACCAACGCAATTCCTGTTTCGCAGTGAATCCACCTTCTTACGCCTTATCACCAAAATAGTAATATTATAGCAGCCACTACAAAGTGAAGCATTCCCCATGTCGTCACTGTCATTTCGCAGTCATCAGCACGTCACAATAGAGTGCGCTCGTGCACTTGAGCAGGATCTCATCGCTCCATCTCCACGGTGGTCCTTCCTCTCGGGCACCGTCGATCGTTTAAGGTAGGCCCACACTTGTTTATAAGTGGCAATTATAAACGAAGCATCAACGTATTTGATTGGACATCGTGTGTTGGTGAAGACTGGAACTCATTTGTGAAGCGTTCATGCGGCATTTTCCCAGTTTTAAGGCAGTTTTGCAACGTAAACTTGCCAAAAGCGCAGCACAAACAGCGCACAGCAGCAACGATACATTTAAACTTGTAACGCGCGCAGTACTCGGTCAGTCTTGAATACAGGGAACGACTCAGAGGTGCGAGGAACCAAAGAAAATCGGGAAGGCAGCCCGCTGCGCTAGAGTGCTCTTTTTTTGCAGAAGCAACCTGGCCACAAATAATACATCAACGAAGTGGCTTATCGTGTGGAAATGTATAGCAGCCAAATACTCAACGCATGGTGCTGAATTAATGTTCCGATAGACTGGGGGAAAGGGTCGTTCGCAGCGATTCCGGCTCAGAGAGCGCGCATGTGGTGGTGCCAGACACACGCACGCCAGGCCGACTGTCTCCTCGAGAAAGTGTCGGTTTAGGGGGGAGATTTAGGTTAGAAATAATATTTGTAGTAATTTTCTGACCACGCTGGTCATCGAGGGGTTCGGGGTGAGGGGGGAAGGCAGGAGCGGTTCATATATCATTCGCCATTGATGTTAGCCGTGGCTGGCAATCGAACTGAGGTTTCCGGGTTCTTAGCGCAGTGAGCTAACTACTGCTCCACCGCCCCATCCACGAATCGTAAGTTAACGCGCAGCTACGCACGGGACCCGCGCGTGGCTGCACGAGAGCACATTGCGCGGACCAGCAGTAGACACGTAACAATGCCCGAGTCATCGACTCAATAGATGATTCGGCAAACCATACGTTCTTCAAATCGACCGTGTATCAATGATTTAGGATGTGCGCCAGTTGTGCGCAAGTGACGTGGATATGTTTCATGCAGGGTCGAGGAGCGCAATCCAAACGGGACACGAGATAGAGGCACGCAACCAGACGTGCAGAGCAAACGGGACGGACATTACTAAAAACGCACGCACTATATATACGGGACAGGTGTAGCCTACGTTATGGACAGTAGTAATTTAAAGCATGCATTTATCTCAACGCAACAAAAAAATCGTGCATACGCACGGATCTGGTAACGCTTTCCAAAGCGCGTTTGTCCTCAGGAGGGGTTTAATCAGCGACCGCGGTCGCGCTCGTGGGCAGGGGCGCAGGAAGTGCTATGAAGAAAGGGTCATTGCTCGAAACGTCGCCGACTATATCAATACTTTTTTTCGTTTAATGCCACGGTGTTATTGACAAATGTGTTAACCCCTGGGCCGCGACGGGACAGGCGGCCTCTGTCGCGCTGACCGGGTGGGGGGCCCCTCGGCCGGAACAGCCGAGGCGGAGTCCTTCTTCCTCTGGGTTTGTTTCGAAGTTTTGGGTAGAGGCCGACCGAAACTTAATTTCTGGTTTTTATGCCGAAAACAAAACCAGACCGAAAGTTAAAAATTGACTTTCGGCCGAAACCGAAACTTTGCCGACAGAGGCCAACTGCCAACTTTCGGCGCCGAAAACGAAACCAAATTTCGGTCGGCCTCTAGTTTTGGGTTACCCCCTTTGATCAAATGTGGCCGGTTTTATACAGCGTGCGTAAGTCTCTGAAAGCAACGCGACTCTGTTACCCTTTAGTTTCCTTCATATTGCATCGTCTTTACGAGAGTTGCCGTCACTTCCCCGTTACAAAGCTAATGCGTACCCGTTTTCAACATTAATTGGAAAAATGTACTAAAAAATCGATTCGTGAATAGAACAGGAACCCGATAAAGTGACAATCGAAATTTCTGGGCGGTTAATCTTTCCATGGCCAACCTCTTATGCTAACGTTCCCCATAAGGGGTCTGATGACCACCGCTTATGTTGCGATAGAAACGTAGTTTTTTGTTATTTTCTTTGAACCTATCTATGTGACTTTACCGAAAGACCCAAAGAATATGAATTCCTGCAGTCACGAAACCTTTAAGTCAAGATCTAAACATACAGTACCATGTACGCGCAGACACGTGCACCCGTTACGAATATCGGAGTAATCCGTGTCATTCAAAGCCACGTTACTTTCAAGACAAATGATACCTATAAGGCCTGGTACCCACCCCCTTCCCTCCTTATAAACACACACACACAGCGGCTTTTACAAAATGACAACAGCGCGCGTGTGTAGGGCTCGAAGTGCGCCAAGGAAACTTGTGTCGCGATATCCTTCTCTCTGCGTCGCGTCGTTGCGCTATCGCAGGGAACACAGGCGTCGACTCTGTCGGTTTACCGCACCGAACAGCCCCCCCCCCCCTACCTTCACCCAAACCCCCCTATTCGCACTTGAGTTAAGCACAATAACGTAACGTCGCACACCGCTATCGTCGCGCGCGATTCCTCTAGGATCGCCGGGACGTGTTTCGTGAGCGAGTAATTCGGCTTGAGCGGCGGGGTTTGAAGAGGCGTGGTTAATGCTGCCTTGCTGTCAACCCGTGCCACACACAGCGACCTATCGAACACATTCCGCGTCTACAAACCCCGAACGGGGTGCACGCGCAGCAGGACGCAAGCTGCGTCATCATGATAATATGACAATAACAATGCAGCGCTTGTCCCTTCAATCCGGCTCCCGCGTCACGACCGCCACACCTCGTCACGTCGACCACTGTTCTCCCTTCCGTTCAGGTTCAACACTCAGGTTGTGATTACACGCTGCCCGTGCCCGATGATGGGTATGGGTACACGGGTCCCACGGTGTGACGGACAATTGGCGCAAGTGGAGGCTGCGTCGTGGCTGGGCGCGAGCTCGGGCGGGAGCGTGAGAACCGCAGCGAGCGGCGAATCGTCGCTGAAACAAAGACAAAGATCCCCCGTATAGCCTTCACAGACTCTTGCGGCAGGTGCTGTTAGCAAGCATCTATCGCTTAGGCTGCATTACCATACGCATTTTGGACCCGCATTAAAGCCCCATTAATACAACTGATTTAAATAGGTGCCATTGCGCGTTTAATACACAATGTGAACAGTATTTTATTGTTCCTACGAGTTTATACTTTTGAATTAAAACGTCAAAGTATCATATATGCAATATCTGCAAATATAAGAGAGAAAATGTACGGCTGCAATAAATAAAATGCTTTAATAAATTATACTTTGTTTAAAAAAAAAGAACGTGCCTGACTTAAATACATAAATAACCATTATATTACATAATCTGCAATGGCGCATTTAAACCTGGGGCTGCATGGAGGACAACCGATGAACACGTGCGATCATCCATCATTAACGTCGTACCCGAGCAGAACTTGATCGTTGTTCTCAAAGTCATTTTGAGCCGCACAGAACCATGAAGTAGCCAGACAGTCATACGGCCCGATTTGGGGAGGGAATTATGATAAAGCGATTCACTTTGGGGGTTTTTTGTCATTCTATGCTTCTTTATACGTATCGGTGTTAGCTCGGTGATAGCCCAACTGAAAATGTTCGGTCGAAATTCATGCTTATTTGTTAATTACTGCATGTCTCGGAAACGTCCGTGTAAATTAAGAGCACAGTATTAGAGTGTCAGATGTATACTGTATGCGTCCTAAAAAACAGCTTTTTTGTAATGCACTGGAGGGATGAGAGCTCCCCCACTAACGACGTTGTGGGTCGTGGATGTTAGCTGTCCATACTTCACCACGCTGTTCGTGCAGTTTGGTGAAGGCGGGGAGCATAGACTTGGAAACATAGTACAGTACAACAATATATATTTTACCACACTGCCCTCTGCCGACAGTGTAGCCCCGCACAGCAGCAGCCTACGGTACCTGTTGTACACCTGGTGGTCACCCATCCAAGCGCTAAACGCCAGGATCAAAGCTGCTGAGATCCTTGCCGAGATCTAATTGATTTGGTCATTGGCCAGATATATACATACAGCACATATAATATTCTATACATATACTGCGGGAAGTGCAGTTGCACGTTTCTGCGAGATAAACGGAACACCAAACGTCTCAATATAATTCCAACACAATATTACTAGTATACCAAATGAAACCATACATAATAGGCTGACGTTTCAGGCAATGTCCCTTCTTCAGAGCAGAAAGATCGCAGGGCACCGCGTTGTAAATAAAGTGTGATCTCATACTATAAGTCAGTTTCATCATTGGACCTCCTTTGCCAGTACCAAAATATAATAATAGGGTTTTTCCCCTTTTTTCGTCTCTGGTGTGGACCAATCAGTTTCAAGCACAATGCATATATTATCAGTGTGATTTTTGTTTGCATTTTGACTGCAAGTATTGTGGTTAATGCAGACATGAATCCTTGTAAAAAAAAGGTTTCAGTTTTGTTGCCAGAAAAAAGGAGAAAACCCCTATTATTATATAAGTCAGTCTCTCTGTTCTAAGGAAGGGTTGTCGCCTGAAAAGTCAGATTGCAGTATATATATAGAGGTGTTGATGAGGAACGTGATTATTTTTTGTTGGATTGTGCTTGGGAAACACTGCCAAGTCAGTCCCTTAATATGTTTAGTTTCATATAAGTGCACGCTTTGCAATAAATTAATAGTAAAAATCGGAACACGCTTCCTGTAGTCGACTGCCTCTCCCAAGCGTGGCAGCAGAGGTCTTAGTTCTGCATCTCGAGCTCCCAGACTCTCTGCGGCCACCCCGTGCGACCCCGGCTCCTGCGCTCTCCGCTCAGCTCCGCGTCGTCTCCGTCCTGCAGGGCCCACGACACCAACAATGTGAGCATTTCGACTGTTTACAACGAGTCATATAAATCCATGATGTGTCTTAGCCTGCCTCTATGAGCCTCCGCTATTTACAATTATATGTGTGCTATAGGTGCCTTAGTCTGACTCTGTGAGCCTGAGACTCGTGTAGTCTGCCTCTGTGAGCCTTGGATATTAACACGGAACCGTAAGGATGCTAAATGTGCCATGTGCTCCGTGACCTTCAAGCATTAAGGTCGAATCATTTGCAGTGTCGACGTGTCTTTGTCTCTGCGAGCCTCTAACATTGGCACTGAACCCTGTGCATCGTACAGGTGTGTGCGTTCGCGTGTGCGGGAACCTGACCGCTGTGCACGCCCCCGCGGGGTGTCCGTGCTCGGGGGTCTCAGAGGGGTCCCGGGCCAGGACCCCCATGAGGTGCGAGATGTAGCGTGCGGCGAGACGCAGCGTCTTGATCTTGGAGAGTTTCGTGTCGGCGGGGACGCTGGGGATGCGCTCCCTGCGACACACACGGTGTATAAAAACACGCGGTGTATAAAACACACGGTGTATAAAAACAAACGCACCCTGTGTCGCCTGTGGCAGACTGAAGGGGAAATATATGTATGCATTTTGAACTTCTTTCGCACAGTGCTGTTCGCAAGCACCAAATAATCAACGAATGTTGGCACGGCCTACGAGTGAGTGGTATGACCAGAACCACCCACGGCGCTGTTGTTTCCCCAATGCTGATGTTTACACTCCGCACCAGTTACTAATTTAAGGCTGAGTCAACCTAGAGGAGGCCCAGGACCGGTTCAGATAATCGTTACTGATGTTGGCCGTGAGCTTGAATCGAACTCGGGACGCCGGGTTCGTAGCCACTACACTATGCTAACCACTACACTACCGCTCCCCAAAGTATATACTGCACTATAGACACGTACGAAGTATACACACGTAAATATGCACAGTGTACATATGAACGTACGCACCTATATACATGCTGTCTGCATTGAGTCAAGTCAATTAAAGACTGAAGTCTCAATGTGTGTGTGTACACGTGTTCCACGTAACGCAGACAGCGTTAATCTCTTAGCCCGTCACGTGGGACGTGTTTCACTATCATTGGGCGCGGAAAGTTTGGCGGGTGCTGACCGTGAGCGCAATGCGCTACGGATCCAGCAGTCTGAATTAATATATATAAACACAATTAATCTATAAACACAATGCACACATAAACACAATTAATCTATGAACACAATACATATATACAATTAATATATAAACACACTTCATGTATAAACATACTTCATACATAATTGCAATGCATATATAGAGACATATAAACACAATTCATATATTCTTAGTTTTTTCGGTAAAGTCACGTTGAAGGGAAACAACAAAATAATAAAATATATAAAACAATATTTTTTTTATTGTTTTATATATCTTTTATGTTGTTTCCCTTCAACGTGACTTTACCGAAAAAACTAAGAATATGAATTACTGCAGTCACGAAAGCTTTAAATCAAAATACAATTCATATACATATACAGTTTATATATAAACACACTTCATATATAAACACAATTCATATATAGAGACACATAAACACAATTAATATACAAACACAATTCATATATAAACACGCTTCATATAAAACACACTTCATACATAAACAATTCATATATAAACACAATGCATATATAAACAATTCCTATATAAACACGATTCATATGTAAACGCAATCGCTAATGTTGTAACCAAAATTAGCGGAATTGTTCACCAAATGTTTACAGAGAAATTAAACCCGGCTATCGTGGGCTGATGCTTCAATCATCCCTATATTTAATGAAAGCGATTACCCCCTACCTGAAGGATTACAGATACTTCTTCATTCTCTAATCACCCGTCATGCATTGTTCACGAAGCTCATTAGGAACAGAATAACGAACAAATTAGAGGCGAGCCGACCACGAGAGTAAGCAGGGTTTATAAAAAAAAGGTTTCTCTACCATCAAAGATAAAGATCCCCCTTATAACCTAAACAGACTGTTGGGGCAAGTGCTGTTAGCGAGCATTTATGAAGGCCGCCGGCACGGCACGCGAGGGGGTGGGGTGACCAACACCACGCCTTTGTCTGCCCCGTAGCGTTGTTTACACACCGCCCCAGATACTCATTTGAGGCTGAGTCGACCCAGGGGATGCCCAGGACCGATTCAGATAATCGTCACTGGTGTTGGCCACGATCGGGAATTGGACTGGAATCGCCGGGATCTTAGCTCAGCGCTCTAACCATTGCACAACAATCGGTCTCACACACACACACATCCTGTTCATCAGATCCTGGGAAATACCTGAAATGGATTCCAATTGCAGGGCGACTGTGCCTCATGGCCCTCTATATTCTATGAAAGGCATTCGACTCGCTAGAAAGTGATGCGGTCATCCAAGCTTTCGAAAAACAAAGAGTAAAAAAAAGAAAATATTGGAATATATAAAATGAAAGCCTTTTATATATATATAAAATTTAACAGTAGCGAACAGATTCCACGAAGAAAGTACAGTACCGAAACAATGCATACATACTTAAGATATCGACAAAACACATACGTACTTAAGATATCGACAAAACACATACGTACTTAAAGTACAGACGAAATACATACATACTCAAAGTACCAACAAAATACATACTAATACATACATACTCAAAGTACTAACAAAATACATACTCGAATTATCAAAAGAACAAATAAATATTGTACTCAACGCATTGACAAAATACATATATACTCAAAGTACCGACAATATACATGCTCAACTTATCTACAAAATACATACTCAAAGTACCGAAAATATAAAAACTCAAAAGTATTTACAAAATACATATATACTCAAAGTACCGACAATATACAAACATACTCAATGTATCGAAAAAATACACTTAAATTATCGATAAAATGTATGTATACTATACTCAAACTATCGACAAAATACGTTTACGAAATAGACTAAATACATACTCCGCACCTCCGATTAGCACGGTTGGCTACATACGGTGCGAAAGAAGTTCAACATGCATACACACTCAAAGTATCGACAAAATATATATCTACTTAAAGTACAGACAATATACATACTCAACGTATCAACAAAACACATACAATACTCAAAGCTGACGCTCTTTCGCAGCAGTTGTTGACACAGCGACGTTAGAAAGATGTACAGTATTTAGAAACTCAGATTGGAGAAACGAATGTATGCATAATAATAATGGAGACAATATTGATTGATCATGTCACTTTGCTGATGACACGGTCCATAGACGATCCACTGGGAATTCACGGCAGGAATTAAGTTGATAGAGAAGGCTGACAGCTGGACTACACGTGAGTGTGTGTGTGCGTACACCTCGGATAACCACTGAGAACGGAAAGTGGCGAGGTGTTTAATCCTGTCATGGACACGTGCTGCAGAAACGCCACGGATCTCCCTCGCTAAATACTGTATGTAGCAGGACGATCGGCTAAACGGGATTATTATCCGTCGAGCAAATCATCATCATCATAATAATAACAGTACACACTTGAGTGAGCCACCGCCATTCACAACAACAATGACAGAACACGAACCGAGAGGTGAGCAGACAAATTCACGTCGCGCGTGCCTCGTTTTGACGTAAATCCTCTGCAGCGCGTCCTAAAGTCGCGTGTGTGTAAGTCGCGTGTCAAAGGACGAGATCGAGCACGGATCCGTGTATGAAGGCATTCGTCCATAACACTGCGTGTAAATAATAGTATATAATAGGCGACGTTTTGGGCAATGGCCCTTCTTCATATAGCACGATAAATAGATTCGTTTCCCGACGCAGACGCCTTACCTGTGTGGACTTGGTACATACAGTAAAACCTTGGATTGCGAGCATAATTCGTTCCGGAAACGTGTTTGTAATCCAAAAGACTCGTATATCAAGGCGTGTATACGTACTACTCGTAGTGCAAAACCTCGCTCGTTTATCAAATAATTATTTATTTAAGAATTTTGCTCGTCTTGCAAAACACTCGCAGACCAAGTAACTCGCAATCCAAGGTTTTACTGTACAGGTTTCCCTCACTTTATGCGGGTTCCGTTTGTGCGGTTTCGCTTACATGCGGCTAACCTATTTCAACGAAAAATTCGCGACATGCAGTTTGAATTCACTCATATGCGGCTATACGGTCGGACGTAGGACAACATTGGGTGTACTGTTCGATTTAAAGCTTTCGTGACTGCAAGGATTCATCTTCTTTGGTTCTTTCGGTAAAGTCACCACGTAGAATGAGAATAAAATAATAAATTGATAAAATAAAATAACACAATAATATTCTCACGACGTTTCGGCCACAACACAAGCGGCCTTCATCAGGTGAAGGGGACGAGACTGTCTGGAGGACAGCGCTGGAGTGGAGGACAGCGCTGGAGTGTCCTCCAGACAGTCTCGTCCCCTTCACCTGATGAAGGCCGCTTGTGTTGTGGCCGAAACGTCGTGAGAATATTATTGTGTTATTTTATTTTATCAATTCATTATTTTATTCTCATTCTACGTGACTTTACCGAAAGAACCAAAGAAGATTGGGTGTACTGTTTGCGCTATTCGGCAGGCATATGTCTCGTACGGTTTCGTTTTTGTGTATGCGCCCTTTTTTCTGGAACGCGTTTACCACTATGAAGAAGTCCAATTGCCCAAAACGTCGCCAATGATATGTTTTTTTTTTCCATTTACGGCCACTATTATTGACTAATGTGTTGAGTTATTTGTGCTCGTGTACCGCTGCCAACGCAGCATCACGGAAATATATTGAAAAAAAACCAGATAATCTTGCACCTGAAAAACGGGTTCGTCTCAATGACCGGATTTCCCATGAACTGCTCATATCGAATACGATCAATTGTATTCGAATTACAATATACCCGCAACATCCATCGGAGCGATACAGACGCGTATATGTACTTCCAAAAGTCGTATCCTACTCCTGAGAAGGACGAACATTATAAGCGCTTATATTCTGTCGAATGAATGCATTTTAGATGCGGTGAATTAGTTGTGATGAGAAATACTCTTCACCAACCCAATGACCAACAACAGCTCGGCCCTCACCCAATAGTATATTGACAAACGACTGTATGGTGTGATTATTGATTCTTGTACGCGTGGCGGATTCTACCCAAATTTTGGAATTTAAAAAACTAAACACATTCGTAAAAAAAGCAGATATTCTGGATGATATTTGTCATTACCCGAAACGTCGTTTATGACATTTTATTTTAAGGCCACAGTGTTATTGACGAATGTGTTGACTGTTGTTGTTGTTGTCTGTGCTTGTGCTCCACTGCCAACGCAGCAGCATCACCGATTTCGTCTCAATATTTTACTTACAACGAGGATGTTTTTGACAGCCGGTAGCGGCTGCTACATAGCAACAATCCCGTTACGGAAGACGCAGGGCAATGCCGACTCTGCTCAGCGGAATGATTTCTTCACGTGTTCAAGGAGAACCCGCGAGTTGGGAGTGCGATGACGTCGCCGGCATGAATGAGGTGGATGAACAGCCCCAGTCCGGCGTACCTCAGCTCCGAGAAGGCGAGGTTGATGCTCTGAGTCCGTCTCCTCTCCTTGCGGTTCCCGGGCGCGCGCCTCCGCGTCGGGCCCGGGGCTGCCGTGGACTCTCCGTGCGTGGGGCAATGGCTTTGCCCAAATGCAGGCCCTGCCCCCAAGCCGTGCCCGAGCCCAACTGGCCTCAGACCCGAGCCTGGTCCCATCCCTGGCGCCCCTAACCCCGACCCCATACTCATGCCCCCTGGCCCTAGACCTGTCCCAAGTGCCGGCCCCGTACCTAAGCATGCCCCCATGCCCTGCCCTGCCCCGAGGCATGCCCCTAACCCGTGAGCGAGCCCCGCTCCCATCCCAGACTCATAACCAGATTCCGCCCCGGGGTCAGGGACCAGCCCTGCCCCGTGGGTCGCCTCTGGACCTGCCCCGAAAGCGGGCCCTGCCCCGTGCGTGAATCTGAGCGCAGGCCCCCCCTGGAACCCCAACTGTCCGTGGGGCCCTGACTGGTGCAGCCCTCCCAGACCTAGAGGGGCACCCAACATTCCGTCCCCGTGCGGGAGCGACCCAGGATAGTGAGCGGCGCCCGTGAGCCACGGGCACTGGGGACGCTGCGTGGGGAATGGGCGGTGAGACAGGGGCTGGCCCTGCTGTAGGAACATGCCGGCGATGGTGATGGTGGTAGTAATTATGATGGTTGTTTTGGCGGCGATGGTGGTGGTGATGATGATGGTGATGATAACGATGATGAAGGTTTTTGGTGGTGATAATCGTGGTGCTGATCCTGTGGTATATTTGAGAATCTTTATTTATCCTTGAAAAGTGCTCTTATTGATGATGATTACGATCCTGCTGATACCGAGGCAGTTTCTAATCACGTAGCGGAAGTGATGATACAGATTCCGCAGAGACAGTTGTTGTTGATGATGTTCGTTTCTGGACTATTTTGGGGTATTTTGGTGGCGATGATGACGATTAACTTAGCGACCGATGAGGCTGCAGTAATCGCTCGAGCGGATTTTGTAGATGCGAACGCTGTCGATTGTATTCCTGTTGCTGCGACTGCTTATCGCTACGTTGACACACAGTTTAAGATGACGATGATGGTGATGATAATGCGCTTGGTCTTGATGTTGTCATTCATGGAGGACCATCTGAAAGTAAAAAAAAAACACAAGTGCTGCTGTTGGTGGACCTGCGGGAAGTGGGATTTGTTGTATTGCTGTTCCTTTTCGTGACGGACCTCCTCTTTACTGATACAACTGTAGCTGTCGTCTTCAATTAAACCACCCTTGCAACCGTTGATTCTATTGTCGATGCTGTAGTCCTCAGTGACATCCATTTTTACTGATGTGGCTATAGCTGTTCTGGCCGTACTCGTGGCTATCGCCCAAGCTTATCATCTCTTGAGTTGCCGAACTTTGATGCCGGCAGTTTGGGCCAACTCCAATGTCAGCGCGATCGCCGACTGCTGAGCCGGTCACTTTGTCTACTCGCTATTCCGTCAGCCTCCAACAGTCGACCGATGCTTTCTGCGACCTCGTTACTATGAATATCAACATCGCCGCAAGGGCCCCGTCTGCATGCGTTAAACGAGACGAGGAGTGCCTCGTGACGTGGACCGTGGTCTCGTTCGGTGCCGTCGTCCCAACACCTTCACGATTTAACACGCACCCCTACAACCCTAAGTATACGGAGCAAACCGTTCGCTCTTCGTTGACGAGACTGTGGACTAATCTCAATGGGCGCTCCGCGCGTGGTGGACAATGCATTTAGATAAGCTTCTGTACGTGCTGGAAGTTGTTGACGGTGACGTCGTTATGTATGTACGTATGTTGGACTTCTTTCGCACCGTACGTAGTCAACCATGCTAATCGGAGGGGTGGGGGGAAGGACAACTAAGCAAAAAAATCACGATTTAAAGCTTTCGTGACTGCAAGGATTCATCTTCTTTGGTTCTTTCGGTAATGTCACGTAGAATGAGAATAAAATAATACATTGATAAAATAAAATAACACAATATTCTCACGACGTTTCGGCCACAACACAAGCGGCCTTCATCAGCGCTGTCCTCCAGACTGTCTCGTCCCTTCACCTGATGAAGGCCGCTTGTGTTGTGGCCGAAAAGTCGTGAGAATATTATTGTGTTATTTTATTTTATCAATTTATTATTTTATTCTCATTCTACGTGACTTTACCGAAAGAACCAAAGAAGACAAAAAAATCAGTTAATTTTGCTGCTGTTCTTGTTGCTGTGTATTTGATTAAGGTGATGTTGATAATGTTGCTGTATAATTGATGTCGATGGAGTTGATGTTAGTGATGTCGTTGATGTTAAAGATGTTGCTGTATAGTTTGTGGAATTTATATTTATGATATTGATGGAGTTGATGACGTTGTTGACGAAGCTCAAATTGTTGTGGTGGTGTAGGTGGTTGTAGTGTTGACTTTTGTGGTTACGTGCGTGGCTGTGGTGATGATCGATTTTGGAGAAATGCATGGTGGTGATTGTGGTTGTGTTATTGGTTATGGTGGTAGTGGTTATAGTCGTGGTGATAGTTGCAATATTTCGGTGGTGACTGAAGCTCTGGTGGTATAGTATGTTTGTTCTAGTAGTAGTAATTGGGGGAGGGTTGAAGTGGTGGTGCTTGTGGTGGCTTACGGATCGTATACGGATTCTTCCAGTCTAAATAAAGATTCTGATTTGTTAATGACGTGTTGTGGCCGATGTGTCGATGGTTGATGTTGGTGGTCGTTGATAAAGTGGTTAATTAACGAGGTTGGCTACGTACGTCGCGACAGAAGTTCAGCATACATAGTGGTTGCCGTGTCTGTGGCTGACAATGCGTCTATTGTCGATCGTCGCGGTTTAAATGCGCGCTCGATGTGGTGGGGTTGTTTTGTTGCGTCGCGTCGCTCGATGTTAGTTGTCGACGTGACGGGTGGTGAGACGTGGTCGATGCCGCGTAGCGACTCGCGTGATGGCGCGGTGGGTGACGGCGGCGCTTGGCGGTAGCGTTTGGAGTGCGAGGTTGGTTGGGTGCCTGGACTCTGACCTTGCGCTGTCCTCGTCTTCCCCCGGGGCGGCGGCGGCGGCAGCGGCGGCGGCGGCGGCTCCTCCTCTGCTCGACCTCCGTCCGGCGCTCTGCGCAACAACGTCGCCGTCTCGTCGCTCTGACCCCTCCGCCGCACGCGTGGTGCGCTCCGCGTCTCTGCCGCGCGCATCTCCCCCTGACGCCCGCCGCGCGGAGGGGTCCGCGAGGCGGGGCCACGGGGCCATTGGCGACGATCGGCACGGAGAGGCGCGGCCCTCCTGCCCCGTGGTGTCGCACCTGCGGCGTCCGTCCGCGTGTCCGCGTGATCCAGCCGCCTGCCTCTTTAAGTGTCCGTCTACCAGCCGGCCTGTTTGTACACACCTGTAATGTCTCTGCGTCGGTCTGCGTCCCGTCGGAATATTTACCCGTCTGTCTGATTGCTGCTTCACGTCTGTTTGTTAGCCTGTCTGTCCATCTGTGTGTCTGTCAGCCTGCGTGTCTGCTTGCCTCTCTGTCTGTTTTGCCTCTCTTTCTGCCTATCCATCTGGCTCTTTGTCTGATCATTGTCTGCCTGCCTGTTACAATCTAGTTCGACGTGTCCGTGTATAAATCTAGGTATATATCGATCTGTGTGTCCGGCTGCCTTATCTGTGTACCGGTCTGTCTCCCTGTCTGTCTGCGGACACTTTCGCGGGTCTGTCGATTTGTCTGGGTGAATATTTCTGTCTGCGCGTCGTTCAGTTCCACTGTAGAGTTTGTCCAGGGGTCGGCAAATAAAATAACGAGACATTTTTCGTCGAATTCGCTCATATTTAAAGTGCCGCAATGCACGTGAATACGAGACGGTCCTTAATCAAGAAGTGTCACGAAGCAGTCCTCAAAGAGCCGCACACAACTCCGGAGGCGCTCGTTGGCGAGCCCTTGTCCAGGGTTTAAAGTTCTGCGTTGGGCTGTGTGTAGTCCCCGTGTCAACATCTCGATACGTCTGTAGTCGAGTTGTCTCTGTGTGTAGAGCTCTGGCCGGCCTGCAGTGTGTATATTTCGTCGTTTGTACCACGGCTCTCCGTCCTGTACTGCGCGCCCATCGTTCTCTCTACAGCTGTGTTTGTAGCGTCAGCGGATCCGTGTAGTTGTTTCCGATTGGCTTTGACCGAATGCGCAATGTTTGTTCACAGAACAAGGTACTGGCAGATCGATAACGTGGACAAGAGAAATCGTATCTAATTTACCTCGTTTAAAGATGCGTCCGACTGAAAATCGTGACTAACATTCATGTATTGTTATGTTGTCAATGAACTAAATACATAAGTGTATAGACACAGTTAGACAGGTGATGTTTTTTTGGAATGTGGAGTAATTTCCCATATTCTATAACATACACAGTGTGTGTGGTGTGTGTTTCGATGTTGTGCCTGTGTTCAGTTTTGTGTGCCGGATGCTTTCTGAAGTTCTCTATTTCTCTCTGTCGACAATATTAACAGGCATAGTAATAACATAATTGTATTATAATACTCCACACTGCCCTTATATAGAATTCAAAGTACAGGACACGCTGTTACGCAGGCAGATCCAAAACACGTCCGCGTATCTGCTGAAGCAGTGTGTACATTATTTGAGTTGTGTATGTGTGAAAAGTGTACAGTATCCACTTAAATTTCGATTTAAAGCTTTCGTGACTGCAATGATTCATCTTCTTTGGTTCTTTCGGTAAAGTCACGTAGAATGAGAATAAAATAATAAATTGATAAAATAACACAATAATATTCTCACGACGTTTCGGCCACAACACAAGCGGCCTTCATCAGGTGAAGGGGGCGAGACTGTCTGGTAGGACAGCGCTGGAGTAAGAGAGCCACGTTCAGATCACGGCTTTTAAGCTGTGTGAGAGGAACAAAGAGCCTTAGAGTCGCGGCATCTCTTCAGAAAGGTGAGAGACTCGATTAGTTGAGCCTTCTTATCCCGAAGTCTGTTGAATGATCTTAAGGATGTGTGGAATCTCTCCCCGTAGAGGCGGTTAAATTTCGATTTAAAGCTTTCGTGACTGCAATGATTCATCTTCTTTGGTTCTTTCGGTAAAGTCACGTAGAATGAGAATAAAATAATAAATTGATAAAATAACACAATATTCTCACGACGTTTCGGCCACAACACAAGCGGCCTTCATCAGGTGATGCCGC